GTATACCCTGCAAGCACGCACTCAAATAACCAGTCCATGTAACATGATATACCGCCACATGATGCGCGAGTCTACTTTTCCCGTTGTACCGTCCCAGAGAGACGCGAATGAAGAACTGTTACCGTCCACAGTGACGCGATTTTACACATCCTTTTTTTACCGTCCGAAATTTTTCCCGCTCCACAGAGAGACAGGTCCTTCACACATTATACACACAGGGTCCCTACTTTATTATCAGTCTACCAAGCCTTGTTTAATACTTTGGAAAAATCACGAGGGCGTGATTATCTGTAGGAAGGGAGGGTGTAGTATCCCTGCCTTGCTAGTACTATGTAATATCTACTGACCTCTAATCATGTCACATGTACACGTACACACACTGCATGACTCTTGTCACTCCTTTGCTGACAAGCCTGCAAAGCTAATTATATCACTTCTCACCACTTGTGCTTCTCTTGCGCTTGCTGGATTGCATACTACATATCTTTGCTAGTTTAGATCATCGCACCTGTATGTACATGTAGAACTAACACCCACATGTTGTACTGTACCTCCCTGACCCTGACTGAGGTCATTCGGACAGTCATGACCCTTTCTAGATCCGGTTTGCATCCATTTGCTAATGCCCTCCCTGGCCTCTGTTCCCCTCCAAAGTTCCGTTTGCTTCTTTCATCCTTATACATTTAGATACTGTTGCTATGCCTTCCCAAGTTCTGTTTGGACTGACACAACAGACTTTTGCCCTTTTTCATGACTCATGGCTCATGCAGACGCTATGATGATCTCCTTCCTTTTCGCCCTATAAAAGCTGCCATGCTTTACTCATTTCTTCAGAGCAGAGCAGAACATAAGAGAACAGAACAGAGTCCCTCCTGGCAGATTGAGCCGGAGCAGTTGTATTCCTTTCAGAGTCCCTCCAGGCAGATTGAGCCGGAGCAGTTGTATACATAACTTCAGGCAGATTGAGCCGAAGAACATAATATTAACCAGTCTTCTTGTGTGTGCCTCCTGATACCACTCGGCGACCTATTACACACTGAACACTGGGAAAGTGCGAAATAATTTGGGACCCTAAACTGCATGATTACCGAACTGAGGATGAAAAGAAGTTCATGCTCGGGGCAGAGTCCGCCATTCGCTCCAGAAGGTTACTCACTACAGTCTTCTACGCCTAGGAAGTGGTGAACAAATATCTCGAGAGGTATTTAGGACATTCTTTGAAGTCAGTTTAGTTCTGAACGAATGCATTGTAACTAAATTATTATTACTTTGCTGCAGTTTGCATGCATGATCCGGATTGATAATTCTCAGCGGTAAAAAAATTCAAATCTAGTTTTGTGCACTGGTTTCCGCGTTATGTGCACTCGTGGAATCTGCTCATGGCTTCAAAAAATGAGAATCCGTGAACAAGCGCAAAAAAATCAAGTGAAGAAGGCGAAAATGGCCGCTGCTGTCAGTGAGCAAAGTTGGATGTTTGGCGTCTTCTGTGACCTCCCTGGATCAGTTTCGAATAGACCCTTTGCACAATAACGGTCACGTGATCCGAGACGGGGCATCCTCTTCGATTTTTGTGCAGAGTATCCGTTGTTGAGCATGGTGAAACACTGTATTTTTCCATTTTGGACTGATGGAGGAGAGAGTGTCGAGTGGTTTGCCATCGATGGCTGTGGCACCCGTGGACGAACTGTCAAATGAAGAATGGCCTGTGAAGGAACTGAACAGTTTTCTGCTGAATGAGGGTGCGTATCTGTCTGGAAAAAGAAGGAGTTGTTGGAGCGGTAAGTTTTCCGCAGTCAGTGGATATTTCGGATTACTGTAGATTGAAATTTATTTTTATTTTCTCTACCTTCTCTTCTCTGTCGATGTAGAGAACACTTCTCTATGCAGAACCCTGATGCTCCTAGAACTAAGAAGGGCACCACTTCCTCGAGTGTACAGTCGTCGTGCCCAACATTTCATGCGTCCCAGTGGATGACTCGATGAGTGATGAACCTCTGTTTCCCAGAGTGAGTGCCACACCAGGCTTGCTCATCTCCAACGCAGGGGCAAGTCGCCGACGACAGTGAAGAGGGAGCTGATGGAGTAGTACTAGTGAAGAAGCCCGTGGATAGTGTCCATGAGTTTTACTTTGGTGGCTATGCGCATAACGTGAAAGTCTGTCATATCGTGCACACAGCCACAGCTCGAACTCAGATGGCCTTCTCTGCACGCCTGAGCGATGAGGCTGCGTCTCTCTGCACTTCAACATCAGCAGCTCGAGCAGCGCCAGCAAGCAGTCGATCTTCCTTGAATAGCGAAGACAGGGATGGGTCATGCCTTTCTCTCAAGCTCCAGAGTCTCTTGGCAGGACGTTCCGCGTCTTCGCAAAACGATGAAAGTGACTGTCTTCATCGACAAAGTGTTCCGAGCAAAACCGTGACTGTGAACGATGTCGCAGCAAACTGCTGCCCTTCTCGCCAGATAGCCAGGATTCAAGAGAGTAGAATCCCAGCATCACTAGGGAACGCCTGGAAAAACAAGTGGGTTTCTTAGACAAGGGATGACGGTTGCTCCAAACAAGAACCCAACAGCAGTCCTTGGAAAGCATTTCGGAACTTCTTCCTTCAGAACTAAAAAAACTTCAAATGAAAAAAGGCTGGGGAGTACATACATGAACATCGCGTCGGGACCGTGAAAACCTAGCCTGTCACAGGAAACTTGATCACGTCCTGCAGCAAACAATGCAGGCTGGTTGCATGCCAAGTGTGCAGCGCGCGCACAGCATGCCCCGTCTCGACCCCTCTCGCTTATTGCGCAAAGGGTCTATTGTCCAACAAGCGGAAATCGCTTCAGGATACCATCCTGAAGCGGTGTGCTGAAGGACGATTTGTCCCTCTCTGGGTGCAACGGTCGATGCTAAAACAGCCGATTCTGAGATTTGGCTCACGGACTAACGCTGCATGCATGGAACAAGCAGTCCAGCGCTACGCAGCACGAGCCAACATTTCGTGGCTCACAAATCAAATAATGCGAGTTTTTGCTCGCTCTCTGAGTCCGAGCTACATGAGTTCCATCGTGCCTTCGTTACAACGACAACGCGTCGCTGAGGATGCATCACTCAAATAGGATTACAATTTACTTGTCTTTCGGACGCCACCCTGTGTGCTGTTGATTGGTTTTCAGCGTTGTGGCTGCAGTCACGGCCTAACTGTTCTTCGTACAATTTGGGGATTCCAGACAAACCGTTGACAGCGCTTTGCAAACTGCCCTCAGGTAAGGCCACGCAGTGTCGCAGGGTTTGTGTGATGACTTCTAACGACCCAGTCTCTTTCTGTGGTTGGGTCACCCTCACATCCGTGTATTGGCTGTACTCTTAGGCGGTGTTTACATGAGGCGTTTCAACCCGGGTTGAGTTCGACCCGGGTCAGATTTCAACCCGCCATGTGCATAAAATGAATGGCGCGTTTACATGACGCATTGCGCTTGGCCCGGGTTGAAATTTCGCCCCGTTGAAATCAACCCGGGTCAAGAAAATCGTACAAACGTACTTCTGTGCGTATCTCGCGCCAGGTTTGAACGGCACTGCAGATGCAAATTTCGCGCGAACGGATTCACGTGACCATACAGGACTGTAGAAGTGGACTTTTGGCGGCATATCAGTATTTGACCCGGGTCAACTGTCTTCATGTAAACGCTCACCTCTTTTGTCTATCGTACAGACTTTCAACCCGGGCTGAACTCGACCCGGGTTGAAATTTCTCATGTAAACACAGCCTTGTTCACATGAGAATTTTCAACCCGGGTCGAGTTCAGCCCGTTGAAAGTCTGTATGATAGTCCTGTATGGTCACGTGAATACTTTCGCGCAAATTTAATTATTTGCATGTGCAGTGCTATTCAAACCTGGCGCGAGATACGCACAGAAGTACGTTAGCACGATTTCTCGCCTACGTTAGTACGATTTCTCACCCCGGGTTGATTTCAACCCTCCCCCCATCTCGCCCCAGGTTGATTTCAACCCTCCCCAATCTCGCCCCGGGTTGATTTCAACCCTCCCCTTGGGGGTGAAATTTCAATCCGGGTCAAGCGCAATGCGTCATGTAAACGCGCCATTCATTTTGTGTACATGGCGGGTTGAAGTCTGACAACCTACATGTACGTCTCAACTACTTATATAGGAGACTCCCTTCGATAGGCATCTATTTGCCTCTGGAGGATCCGTGAAATAAAAATCAATCAAAAACACATCACCAAATTTGTCTAATACCATACTGCGCAGGTCTTGGAGCCATAGTGCTGCTGGCACACGCATGGACGAGAACGCAGCAATGGAAGACAAGACACTAAACGAAATGCTTGCGGGTATAAAGTTCCTGTGTACCAATATATGCATGATGTGGACAATTTTGCACAGGCATTATTGCCCAATGTCATCCGGTTCAGACAGATTTTTTCTATAATGATCCTGTGTGATCAGCCAAATTTTGTAATGCACCCTTGTTTGGCGACTCCTCCACCAGAAAGCGCATGAGGGAGTTACTATGTGGATCATTTTCTACTATCATGATTTGTTTGAGTTTCTTGTCGAAGAGACAAATTTCTATGCCATACAGTATCTGGCAATGCATGATTTCAGTCTGTGCGAGGGCGCACAGACCAATGGAATCCAGTGACAATTACATAGATGATGGTGTTCATCAGTCTCCAGGTACTGAGTAGCTAGCCGGCTTTGAGAACCACATGCAGCTTTCTCAGGTCAACTGACCCAGCCATACACGGAAAGCTTTCCCTGTATGCTAGTCTTGTCCAACAAATGCAGTTTGCAAATTGCTTGCGTATCATGCATGCACCTTTCAGAGTAATACACTGATGCTGAACCAAGGATGAACTTTGCAAATACATCTTGGCGAGCTACGCTAATCACAGGCTTATAGTGTATGCATTGTAAATTTCAGTGCCAAGTTGTAGGCCCAATTGGAAAAAATCCATATCTGTGGAAAATACATCGGACCTGTTTTATGGATCATATCATGTGCCAGAGGTCCTAAACGTGCTATACAACCTCAAAAACCACTGGATAAACTAGTGGGAATAGACATGTATGTTTTTGAAGAGAACAAGATAAATTTATTGACTTCTATACCTCGAAATTCTCGGGAATCACACTACTTTCTTCTCCAAAAAAAAAACAGAGCATACCCTTGCTTACAGAACATCCAGGGCTAAACGGTGTTGTACACGATTGTACAGTCGTACTGCTGTAAAGTAAAAGAAAGAAAAAGAAGAAAGAATCATTCCCTCAAACTTGTGAAAAAGAAGGAAGAAATTATATTTAAATAATCGACGTGGAGACAACAATTTTATAATAGCAATAAAGAGAACAAATTCTGCAGTCATCGCCACACTACAACGAAGTCATGAAAGTTTACCAGAATAAATTTTCTTGTCACATTCATCAGTGGAAAGTCGTGACTGAAGAGTAACCATGCTGAACAACGAGAGAGCTTGGAAGCTCAGGGCCCTACGCTATGCCTTTTTGCCTAGCTCATCGTACATGTTATTAGAACTGATGGAAATATTTTTTTCGTTGATTGGCCTCATAGTTAGACGTGGCTACCATTTTACCGTTCACGCTATATTCGGCGTTAGGCCTGCACCGTTTTGTGTGTGTGTAGACATGGCATTTTGCAGTTCACGCGCTAGATCCAACGGTACTCATACCCCAAACCCAAAATACCGTCGGTTTGGTACCTTTTCGACGATAGAAAGCTCTTTTTAGCGGGAGAACGAAACGGTAAGATTCTAACTAGGGTTACCTCACACGTCTATCGTTGCGTCAGGAGTCAGGACTCAGAAGCCGAACTGCTAACCGTTTCTCGAAAAAAAAAAACAGTAAAAAAAATAGTAGACTCGCCCTCTACGGTCGAAATAGCGTGAACGTTAAAATGCTAACCATGTCTATAGTATTGCAAAAACGTTTCGATCAGTTTGAATATGAGTTAGGCAAAAAGTATTTGAAGAATTTATTGCGGATTGTTATTTTCTCTATTAGCACCATATCCCTCACACACTCATACTCAGCCCAAGGCAACAAGGAATTGTTTTGGAGATAGTGTGCTGCTTCGAGTAACTGGTCTTGTAATGCAAAAGCTCGAAGAGCTGGAAAGCAATGCCAGGCCACTGTCAGCAACTGGCTCGCGAGGAGCCGCAATAAACCCACATTGTGCCACAATGGGGTTGCAAGGCAAAGCCAATGCAATTGGCAACAACTGGCTCGTGAAGAGCCGCAACTAGCGAAGCAAGTGACCAGTTAGGAGCGATAGAGCTAAATGTTCCATAGTACCATTAGCAAGATGATAAAATGGGAGGGATGTAGGGTGAAAATTTGGTGCTGGCACAAGCTAAAAGTCACCACTAATTAGGCTAGTCTTTGAAGTGAAGCCAACAGCAAGAAAGAAAGAGAAAGTTCAAAGGAAGCAGTTGTACGACGTCAGGCTAAGTGCGCCCAAATCCATGCGCTGGCAGTGTACTAGTGTGAGTGCAGTGAGCAAAAGTTCAAAGGAAGCAGTTGTGTGACGTCAGGCTAAGCGTGCCCGAATCTATGCGCTGGCAGTGTGAGTGCAGTGCACAATGCACCGATGCAGCGGTGCGCGGCAGATGCAAACATGGCAGTGTGATCGGTGGATGCTAACACACACTAACTACATTACTGCGACATTAGCACCATATCCCTCACACACTCATACTCAGCCCAAGGCAACAAGGAATTGTTTTGGAGATAGTGTGCTGCTTCGAGTAACTGGTCTTGTAATGCAAAAGCTCGAAGAGCTGGAAAGCAATGCCAGGCCACTGGCAGCAACTGGCTCGCTAGGAGCCGCAATAAACCCACATTGTGCCACAATGGGGTTGCAAGGCAAAGCCAATGCAATTGGCAACAACTGGCTCGTGAAGAGCCGCAACTAGCGAAGCAAGTGACCAGTTAGGAGCGATAGAGCTCCACAAAGCAGCAACACTATCCCCAAACAACCCCCCCCCCCCCCCAGCATTAAGAAATTATCGAGCAGTGACATTCCTATGCTAGGACTTCAGGGATGGAACATAAACTGTCCGTGCAAAGAATCAGATAAGGTCACTCACTGAGGCAAGCTGAGCCGAGATCTTGGACTTGGTCTCCATTGGAATTCGCATATAGCGTAGACACACGTCGCTCTGCCACCTGCCGGCAGAACGAATCAGCGAATCGGGTATCCCTGCCATGGCAGCGGTAGTAGCTGCGCCAATTCGGAATGAGTGCCCCGAGTAGAGTTCGATGTTTGGCACCGCAGCCTTTTCAAGCAGCAAGCGCACAGTACTGGTGAAAACAGCTCTGGATAACGGCACACCCTTGGCAAGTACATACAGAGGAGTGGATGCGTTTCGACTGCCAATCATCGCCAGGTAGCGTAGCATAGCATACACAGGGCAGTAAGGGCGACCGGCCGGTCCAATGACAATATGGACTCCCTTTCCAAATTGGTCTGTCTTTGATCTCTTTAGCAGGATGGTCATGCTGCCCGACTCAAATCTGATACACTCTCTTGTAAGGCCCTCTGTAAATTCGGAGCACCTTAGGAAACCAAAGAATGCCAACAGCACAGCAGACTTGAAGAGAACTCGGTCATGCTCGGGCAACACGGGGAGGCGATCACAGGCATCGACTAATTTCCTTAGAGTTGGCATAGTTATGGGCAATCTAGGCTTTACTGTCTCGGTCCCATGGCACCGTTGAACACCCTTCAACACTCTCTTGAGAAGCCAGGTCTCGATCAGGGGATCCTCTAGACCCTGTTCAATGTGTGCATTCCGTACAGCTTGCAAATCAACAGATATCGTGCAAGGGCGGACAGAGCGAGCAAGAAAAGCGCAAAAGCAGCTGAGGGTAAGATCAGAAGCTGGGTAAGGTTGCAGATTGCAAAGGGAGCAGAAACTGACAAAACGACGCTCACCGGCAGAGTAGGTGCGTCTGGTATTAGGAGCAATTGCACAGGCAGCGTACTTAGTAACTTCGCTCACAAGACTGCTGGAAGACGAGCACGGTCTGGACTCGGCCGCGCTAACGGAGCATGACGTCGAAATTCCTGCATAAGAAAACGAGAAAGGCAATCTGCAATGACATTCTTGGAGCCAGCAATGTGCACAGCGCTAACATGAAAGTTGAACTCATAGCAAACGAAGAACAGTTCGCGTAGCAACTTCATCACAGCTGGGGCTTTGCACGTGCCCGAACGGATGCAGTCCACTACCGCCGAGTTGTCGCAGTGTACCCGAATCCGGAGCTTAGCCCATTCGTCGCCCCATGTGGCGCAGGCTGCTACGAGGGCAAACAGCTCCTTCCACTCGATAGACTGCAGCATCTGGGCACTGTTCCATGAACCTTGAATCCACTTCCCGTTGTTGTAAGCACCCCAGCCGTGAGTGCCACTTGCATCTGTGTATAGCTGGAGATCTGGTGATGGGGTCCAGTTAGGGTGCAAGAAGAAGGACTTCCCGTTCCACTCACTTAGTAGCCTCATCCACCATAGCAGGTCATCCACGCATTCTTGGGTCAAAGTTATTGAGTAGTGTGGTTGCTGAAACCGTGAGCAGAGGGACCACAGACGACGCATGAAGGTACGGCCTGGAGTGATGACACGGACAGCAAACGAGAGCTTACCCAATAGGGATTCGAGTTGGCGTTGGGATATCTTCCGGCTGTTGATCGTGCTGGCCAATAGCGATCTGAGGTCGTTGAGCTTGTCCATGGGGAGCCTGGCCTCGAGCCGCTCGCAGTCCAGAATAATGCCGAGGAACGTCAGTGATCTCGCAGGACCTTCCACCTTTGCTGGCGCTAGCGGCACGCCCAAATAGATGAAGGCTCGCAGCAGGATTGCTAGTTGACGCTGGGCGACAGTATTGCCAGTTGTGACGTTTAGGAAGTCGTCCAAGTAGTGGAATAGGTCGGCAATGGAGAAATGGTTCCGGATAATCCACTCTATGGCCGAGGCAACGGAATCGAAAATGGCTGGGCTGGAGCGAAGCCCAAACGGTAGCACCCGCTCGTAATAGTAGTTGCCTTGCCAGAATATGCCGAGTAGTGAGTGGTCTTCAGCACGAACTGGGATTTGCCGGAATGCACTTTTGATGTCCAGCTTTGCGAGGTACACCGGCTGAGGTGAGGACATAATAGACTCGATTGCATCGTCAATACTGATGTAGTGCAGGGAAAACTGGTCAGCTGGAACTCCGTCGTTCACACTATTACCGGCGGGGCTAGAAAGATGGTGAATCATACGAAGCTTGCCGTTCTTCTTCGGTACCGCGCCGACACCAGAACAGCGCATGGAGGTGAACGGGGCTGCACTAAAAGGACCAGCAGTTTCGCCACGCTGGCAAGAAGCATAAAGCTGGTCAGAAATAAAGGAGGCACAAGCAGCAGAAGATGGCAGATTAGCAGACTGGACAGAAACGTCGCGTGAAGCAGTGAAACCTATGCTAAAGCCGTAGCGCAGCCCGTTTAGCACATAGGAAGCAAATTCTTTATCGGGGTGATGACGCAATAGAAGCTCAAAACGAGAGACATGCAAAGGGGTATGTACAGAGGAATTAAAAATGTGAGGGGGAACAAAATTATGTACACATGCAACAGTTATTGGTTGCTCAGGCTGGGATTGCAATCCCGAACTACTGGGCTGGTCGCTGACCTTTGCCGGAACACTTGCTGCGGGGGTGGTCCTTGCCACAGCGGTTGCAGATGTGGGAGAACCGGCAATTTGACCAGCTACACTTGCCAAGGTTGAAGTTTCGGCAGATGACGGCACCTGCGTTGTTGCGGGTGAGCAGTGAGGATGATGATGTTTGAGCTTGGTGTGCATATTTGGGACGAAAAGGACACATGTTGCTTGCAGCCGCTGGGTGGACAAGGCTGCACGACTGACATCTATGCCTGGCCTTGCCTGTGATGCACAGCTGCCATGTATTTATGTCAATCGTATCAAAGCGCTTGCCAGGTTGTGAAGCGACAAGCCTTCGAAATTGCTGGTCATACATAAGCCAAGCCTCTGCAAAATACTGCCTGTTGGCCGCCAAGATCATGCACTGGTATGACAGGAGTTCTGCTGTGCGGTGGGGTGCATTGCTGATCACAACATGCATATACAGAGACCATGCTTCTAACCAAGTGGCGATATCGTGCACACGTCTACGAACCGGGCGAGTGGTGTTCACCTCTACGACTTCCAGTGCACCCCCGGATGAACTGGATCTGAGCTCGAACGACTTATTGCTATCAACTGCCCCCAAGATCTCAGGCAACAATTGGTCGAAGTCCACAAACTCACCTCGCAATATCCTATCCTGCGCCGACTTTGGGACGTGCAGATTTCCAGCGTGAGGCGGTGTAGAGCACGCAGCACTCATGCCAATGTCGGATGACGCAGCTGGGGGCGCTGGTGCCGCACTTGGCTGCGACAGAAGAGAGGCTCCAATCTCGTCTGTGATGGCAGAACGAACTTCAGCCCGAATAAGTTCGCGAATACCAGTCGGATCCAAGGTGACCGGGGGATCGGCGAGCACCTCGCATGTATCCACGGTGGGTTCGGCAGAGTCGTTTGCTGAAGGTTGAGTTGGACCCAGGTTTTCTCTCTCCATGTCGTCCAGCAATCTCTGAACCAGAATGGATTTCTTTCCGGTGGTCAGCAGACCTCGATCGTCCAGCTCGGCTCGCAGTTCTGCCACCCGCATCCGATGCACAATAGACGACATTGTTTCAGGCACCAACAGTACGAGCTGAACACAATCGAAGCGTCTGGCTAATTAGTTACTCAAAGCTACCACAAGCTAGAAGCCAAACTGAAAATTTGGTGCTGGCACAAGCGAAAATTTGGTGCTGGCACAAGCTAAAAGTCACCACTAATTAGGCTAGTCTTTGAAGTGAAGCCAACAGCAAGAAAGAAATATACTTCCCTGACTCGACTATGCCTATCCGTGTTGTTACTCAGCACAAACATCTAGGTGTGATGTTTGACTGCAAACTCTCTTGGGCTGCACATGTCAACTGTGTATGCAAGCGAACCAGTTCAGCATTAGGGGTACTACAACCACATTGCACTCATTTGCCCATCCAGTGTAAACTATTATTTTATCAGTGCTATATTCTCCCTATATTCGACTATTGCGATACCGCTTGGTGTGGCCTTTCTGACACAACTCTGAACCAATTAGAAGTCCACCATAGATTTATACTTAAAATTCTTTACAACAAGGATCGATGTTTTCCTTCGGATGCCCTTTATCGACTTGCACACACTTCTCCTCTCTCCGTTCGTCATAAGCACCATCTCTGTACACTGGTTCATAAAATATTTCTTCATAAAACCCCTTCACACATGATGAAGTACAATTGGTTTTCGACAAGCTCAACCCGTAACGCGCTCATCCTGCCTCTTGTTAAGTCAGCCCAGTATCTAAAGTCCCCTTTGTTTTCCGGCTACTCTCATTGGTTATCATTACCATACGGTCTGAAAACTTGTTCTTCTATTGGTCAGTTTAAAGATCTACTATCACAACTGAACTAGACGCAATAATTATCATCGAAGAACATTCTCGAATACCTGGGTGATGCACGAATTTTGATAGTGCTCACTTCCGTTAATCGTTTTTCTTTGTAATTTTCCATTCATTTTCTGCTCTAATTCATATTTGCTTTGTTTTCCTAGCTTACTATTGCCGTGGCTGGCTCAACGCCCTTGTCTCAGGGGATTCTGTCCCTGCATTAGCTATGCTTGTCACATGCTATGAGATTGTGTCTAATAATAATAAGAGAAAGTTCAAAGGAAGCAGTTGTACGACGTCAGGCTAAGCGCGCCCGAATCCATGCGCTGGCAGTGTACTAGTGTGAGTGCAGTGAGCAAAAGTTCAAAGGAAGCAGTTGTGTGACGTCAGGCTAAGCGTGCCCGAATCTATGCGCTGGCAGTGTGACTGTGAGTGCAGTGCACAATGCACCGATGCAGCGGTGCGCGGCAGATGCAAACATGGCAGTGTGATATCGGTGGATGCTAACACACACTAACTACATTACTGCGACAATTTCATCCACTTTTGGTTTGCTCCTTTTTTTCTCTTTTTTATCTCCTTATACTGTAAATCAACAAATTTTTGCCGATGAGAAACTTTGGCCGATCTCGAAACAAAACTTTTCGCCGTCATTAAACTTTGGCCGATTGGAGCTTTCAAAAAGAAATCGATCGGTTTTTTTGTCCTCACATGCATCCAGTGCTCAATCAGGCATCATTTGCCTCTATAACAAACTTCGGCCTGCGATTTACTGTGGCCCGTTGGTACTAAGCGGCGAAATCAGCGAAAGTAAATCGCCAGCGAAAATCGTTTCCTGGGACCGGTGCTGACTCTGCCGTCACGGGCGTTCTGGACTCGACGGGATGTCTGCCGTGACGTTTTCTGTGACCGGCGCTGACTTTGCCAATCACGGTCTGGAGTCGACGGGATGTCTGTCCTGACGTTTCCTGTGACCGGCGCTGACTCTGCCGATCATTGACGTTCTGGAGTCGACGCTATCTCTCTTCAAACCTTTCCTGTGACCGGCGTGGATCGCCCGTTCATGCTTGTTTTGGAGACGACGGGATCTCTCTTCCAAAGTATGTTTTTGCTGACGCATCCTATCACCTATTCGGCGTCTATTCTAATTTCATTTCCTCCTCGTCTCCCTATTTCTTTCCAAACCTCCCTCTACATCAGAGAGTCGTATACATGATACGACGAATATTGTGGCCAGCTGTGTTTGATGGTACGGTACGCGACAGATACCACAGGGCCAGCAAATATTGTGGCCAGCTGTTACTGGTTACTCAATCTGCGAACTTGTTTCTTTGTGGCAAGCTGTTATGTACAATCCTGTAGAGCCTTTGTAGTCACATACACGGGACAGATAGGGGACAGATACGGGATAGCTCTAGGCGTGACACAAACACACAAACAAACACCAAATTAAAGCTGTGTGGACCCTGGCTAGCGCCAGACGTTACTGAAGTAACGTCTTCTGCATAGCTACGGGAATGATTAAATATACATTCAATGATGTGTTATGAGAACAAAATACAGTGCCAAAATAGAATGAGGGAAGGTGAGACAATAGAAGTGAAGTGAGAGCTAAGTGCAACGGCGGGTGAGAAACTAATAATTATAACGCTAAAAACTGTGTAGTGAGACAAACAATCATGCTGTGCACCTACGAAAACAATTTTAACGCAACTACATGTTTCTTCTGCTTACAAAGATCAGGCTTATGCAAACGAATACAAACAGCCTCAAGTACTTTCAACTGACTAGCATACCGTGCACGACAAAGAACAGAAAAACTAAAATCATCATACACCTGCAGACACTTAGGGTGAGACAACAAGTGAAGAAAAACGGCAGACTTCTTACGATCACAATCACCATCTGATTCCCCGTCCCCAACAACCGCAACCTCGTCCTCCGTCTCATCTCCCAACTCGTCCTCAGTGTCGTCCTCTGTGTCATTCTCCTCATCAACACCGATCGGTCCCAGGCTCGCTTCATGTTGTTTAACCTCTGTTCGTTGACTCCTCCTTTGATCTTGATGGTAAATTGTTACCATTGTTGTTGTTGTTGTTGTTGTTGTTGTTAAATCTTGTGTTCCCAGTGTCCTCGCCGGTGCTTGATCTCCAGTACTGTAATAAATCATTGAATAATTAGCCGTTGATCGTCTAGGTCTTTGAATGTTGATTGTGTTACTTTCTTTGTTGAATTCCGTTCCCTTCAGCCTTCTTTCTCGTTGTTCACGTTCAGTGCTTGCCTCATCCATAATTATATGCACGTGCCACCGACACCACAGACTCAGCCCCAGCACCGCCGATGATAGATGTAGGTGGCGGTTCTGGGGGAGGCAACGGCAAAGACGGCGGTGAGGGCATTACCTCATCACAGCGTCCACTTTGGTCTTGAGCTGAATGTTGTTGTGGTGTGTTATCTTGTGTTGTTATGGTGCATTGTGTTGTGGTGACAATATGCCCATTACCCGACTCCAAGGCTCTCGATACGGGTAATGTAGGTACTATTGCCGATGACGGAAATTGTGCTAACGATGGCTGTGGCCGAGGGTTCTTCAGTGGCCTGGGACCGATCGGTGTTGATGAGGAGAATGACACGGAGGGCGACACTGAGGACGAGTTGGGAGATGAGACGGAGGACGAGGGTGCGGTTGTTGGGGACGAGGAATCAGATGGTGATTGTGATCGTAAGAAGTCTGCCGTTTTTCTTCACTTGTTGTCTCACCCTAAGTGTCTGCAGGTGTATGATGATTTTAGTTTTTCTGTTCTTTGTCGTGCACGGTATGCTAGTCAGTTGAAAGTACTTGAGGCTGTTTGTATTCGTTTGCATAAGCCTGATCTTTGTAAGCAGAAGAAACATGTAGTTGCGTTAAAATTGTTTTCGTAGGTGCACAGCATGATTGTTTGTCTCACTACACAGTTTTAGCGTTATAATTATTAGTTTCTCACCCGCCGTTGCACTTAGCTCTCACTTCATTTCTATTCGAAGAGAATTGGTGAGCACACATGCTCATTCCCTGGGCACTGCAAATTCACAACTCATTTCATTTCACATAATTATTTTCAACGTTTCGGCAAATTGCCATCATCAGGATACAATTTGCAGTGCCCAGGGAATGAGCATGTGTGCTCACCAATTCTCTTCGAGTTATGAAGCTGCAGGATGCCTCACCGCTACTTCGTTCATTTCTATTGTCTCACCTTCCCTCATTCTATTTTCTTCAGTCACGACTTTCCACTGATGAATGTGACAAGAAAATTAATTCTGGTAAACTTTCATGACTTCGTTGTAGTGTGGCGATGACTGCAGAATTTGTTCTCTTTATTGCTATTATAAAATTATATTTAGAGCATTACTTACGAAGAGCTTTCTTGAAAGCGGAAAGTATTTCAGCAAGTCGAATACTATAGGTAAGGGAGTGCCAAAAGTTATAATTATTCCATAAACAACGGTGAGCTTAAGAAATAAAGACAAACCAGGAACAGGCAATGATACTTGATTTCGAGTAGGTCTATCACACTGGATCCAGTCATACCTTTCCAAGTGTTGGGGAATTCGTTTAGCATACATTTTATGAGCAAGGGTACATAAATGGGTTTGGCTGCGCAGAGCGGAGATAAGGCGGTCCGAGCATATAATTGCCATTAATTGGGCACAGCTAAATAGCTGGAGCAGTCCAAATAACCGTTTGAAAATCTTTCTATGATGCGTTTGAAAATCTTTCTATGATGCGTTTGAAAATCTTTCTATGATGCGTTTCAAGTTTTGTGGACAAAGTTGAATTTAAACAACACGTAGTCGAACAGAGGCAAAATGTAGCAACGGAAGAAAAGGACTTTACAGGGAGGTGGGACTAGTTGGAAGTGAGTGTTCCAAGTGCGGATCACACACATTATGTTATTCATTCCTATAATATTGTCACTTCTTTTGTGTTTCTACACACTACAGCCAGTAACGGCATCCTCTCAGAACCATACTTATCTGGCCCATCTCTTGGGAAGAAGAAGGCGAATATGGTTCAAGTTTCCATCAGACATGTAACTGTTCTGCTGCTGAGCCTGAGTGTTATGCGCTGGGCTTATGCACAATTACCTGGCGGTGGACCACTTGAAGGTGAGATGCTATGACTGTATTCCCAATTGCATAAGGAGGTAAAGCGGAGTGTAACACTGTATCCCTCCTAGCATATCCTCACTGGGGCATGTTCAGGATTGACAGAACTGTTCAAGCAAGGCCAATGGAGGGAGGCAGTGGCACCGG